AAATTATTGGATATGATCCACTACTTTAGAGATAAGAATTGATAATCAGACATGTTTGTATCATACATTAAAAGTGATCATGACCGATGTCTCATAACAAAACGATTTTGGCCACTTTGACTAAGTCCTTGGCTGACGGAGAATTGTTGGCTTTTCATTTTTTAAAAGAGCTTGAAAATAATTCCACACCATCATTATCTACCGAAAATATAACTTGAATTGATTAAGTGACTTTTTACGTGAAGTGACAACAATTAAATAATTTTTCTGTTACAAAACAAAGAAAAGTGAATTTCTGAATAGTTGAGTGATTATGTGAAAAATCAACTCTTGACATCTACTACTTGAATTAGAGATAATGTAACCAAGAGTTTTATAGATCTAAAATTGAAAATTATTGGATATGATCCACTACTTTAGAGATAGGAATTAATAATCAGACAGGTTTGTATCATACATTAAAAGTGATCATGACCAATGTCTCATAACAAAACTATTTTGGCCACTTTGACTATGTCCTTGGCTGACGGAGAATTGTTGGCTTTTTATTTTTTAAAAGAGCTTGAAAATAATTCACACTATCATTATCTACCGAAATTATAACTTGAATTGATGAAGTGACTTTTTAAGTTAAATGACAACAATTAAATAATTTTTCTGTTACAAAACAAAGAAAAGTGAATTTCTGAATAGTTGAGTGATTATGTGAAAAATCAACACTTGACATCTACTACATGAATTAGAGATAATGTAACCAAGAGTTTTATAGATCTAAAACTAAAAATTATTGGATATGATCCACTACTTTAGAGATAAGAATTGATAACCAGACATGTTTGTATCATACGTTAAAAGTGGTCATGTCATGACCGATGTCAAATAACAAAACTATTTTGGCCACTTTGACTAAGTCCTTGACCGAAACAACTCAAAATTTGACTTGAGAATGACTATATTTTCTCTGATAGCAGCCAAATTTGCAAAATTTGAAGAAAACGCGTTTCTTGTTGATCTTTAATTTATTTTGTTTTTCTTCTTTGGACTAGAGAAATGTGTTTAATTATTCTTTGCGGAAACAATCTTATGTAGCTTACTCCCTCTATGCATTGTTTGAATTTTCAAGAGCCATCCTTTAATTTTTATCGTAAATTCAAGGATGCAATCTTTAAATTTTTAAAATAAAATTTATATATTTAAAAACTACATAAAAAATACTATAAGTCATAATAATTGATCCACAAACAATCTTCTAAGTGATCGCGTTTAAAGTGAAGAATTAGAGTTTTTAATATTCAAAAACCATCCTCGGAGGTTGACATAGCTTAATCTATCTCAAATAAAACACTATTAAGAAATTCCTTTTATATATTTGTAAACTCGATTTGAGAGTCATTAAAATTTAATTTTATCAAAATATTCAAGCATGAGAAAGTTTAAACTTTTGGAGATCTCATAAAAATAAAATACCCTTTGCAAGATGACTTTATTAGGCAGATTGAAAAATCACCTAATTTTTACACATTTCATTCAAATTGAGATGACGATAGTTCAAGTAAGGAAAATACATAACTTATTATTCGAATGTAAAACTGGCAAAAAAAAGTGATATTCACATATATTTTTGACCATTATCTCATAATTTTCTTTATTCATTTTTCAAAAGTTCCACATCATGAGACATTAACATCTAGCAGATCCCAACAAAATAAAACACCCTTCTCAGCACGGCTAAGAAAAATTGAAAAATGACAACATTTTCTAAAAGACAAAAACAAACAACCCAAATTTGTAACAAATATACTACGAATCATGGTAACGTCTAAGATTGAGAATTGTTGGATATGATCCACAATTGTAGAGATGAGAATTGAGAACCAGACATGTCTGTATCATACATTAAAAGTGGTCATGACCGATGTCTGATAACAAAACTATTTTGGCCACTTTTGACTAAGTCCTTGACGGAAACAACTCAAAATTTGACTTGAGAATGACCACATTTTCTCTGATAGCTGCCAAATTTGCAAATTTGATAAAAACATGTTTCCTGTTGATTTGCAATTTATTTTGTTTTTCTTCTTGGGACTAGAGAAATGTGTTTAATTATTCTTTGCGAAAATAATCTTACGAAGCTTACTCCCTCTATCTCAATTTATAATGTATAGTTTGAATTTTCAAGAGCCAAATCCTTTAATTTTTATCGTAAATTCAGGCATGAAGTCTTTAATTGTTAAAATAAAACTTATATATTTAAAAACTACGTAAAAAGTACTATAAGTCATAATAATTAATCCTCAAACCATCTTCTAAGTGGTTGCGTTTAAAGGGAAAGAATTAGATTTTTTAAAATTCACAAACCATCCTCAAAGGTTAAGATATCTTAATCTATCTGTAATAAAACACTATTAATTTGCGATCCAATTTTCTTCAAGGGTCATTACCTATTCTAACAAATTCCACAAGATACTTCATATCAAAAAATAATCCGAGTGAAGAAATTCCTTTTATATATTTGTAAAATCGATTTGAGTCATTGAAATTTAATTTTATCAAAATATTCGAGCATGCAAAATTTCAAACTCTTGGAGGTCTCATAAAAATAAAATACCCTTTGCAATACGACTTTATTAGGCGGATTGAAAAATCACCTAATTTTTACACATTTCATTGACAGATATGCCACTTACTATAAAATTATGCTCACACCTCGAAATCCATAAATCTCAGTTGTTTGTGAATAATTTGTGTTTGATAGTTCAAGTAGGGAAAATAAATAACTTATTATTCGAATGTAAAACTCGCAAAAAATAAATGATATTCTATATCTACTATATTAGAAGAGCCAGTGGAAATGTTGGTATCAACATGCCTGCTTGGAGTTTTGAAGGGTATTTTAGATATTTAAGTTTCAATTGACCAATTGTCTCGGCGGAAAGTTCAATTTCTTATAGATGTTTTGTTATATTTTGTCTGTGTAGACGTTTTTGCCATTATGAAAAAGCTACCCTTCGTGTGGGCCCAACCTCACTCTTTGGACAATTTCTTTCCTCAACATATATTATCATTTCTTTCCTTTATATTTTTTAACTTACCATTATTTATTTATCTAAACATTGTTTAGTTATATGTATTAATTATTAACATTAACATATGGACATTATATTAAAAATATTTTTTAGCTGTAATAGCTTGATTGTCGCTAAACATGTACTTTTAATGACAATTAGCTCTCTTTGTAAGTGTCCCTAAAGTCTATAGTAAAATTGAATCTAATGACAATTAACTAATGTCGGTAAATGCTTTAGCACTCTTTGTTAATGTTTATATTTATTGCCGCTAAAAATCATTTTTGTTATATTGGGAAGAAATTAAATTTTTGTTTGGTTATTATCATTTATAACGTAAGATTTATATTGATACTTAATGTACTTACTAGATTTATTAGCAATTTTTTTTAAACGTAACTTGCAACATTAAATTAAATCCATATTTATTAGTATAATACATTTGAATTGTGAATTTGACTTTTTAGTTTTATAAGATAAATTACATTAATTACATAATTAAACATTCGTATTTAGTTCGAGTTATTTTAAGGTTGTCAGTAGTTCAGGAATGAAACTAATAATTCGCATCGAATTTATGATTTTCTTTAATACTTTTCTCTAAAAAAATTGTATGATATAGTCTGAAATTAAATTAATATATACAAGTATTCAAATTCCTATAGAGTGCAACATAAAATTTCAATAAGAAAAAATAATATTGGATTTAATAGTCTGAAAACAATAAAATTGGATTTAATAGATATAAAATGAAAACATTATAATGGTAAAATGCAAAAGTACCCCCAACCTATGCCCGAAATCCCAGAGACACACTTATATTATAGTAAGGTCCTATTACCCCCCCCCCCCCCCCCCCCCCCCCCCCCGAACTTATTTTATAAATAATTTTCTATCCCTTTTCGACCTACGTGGCACTATCAACCAGATAGCTTGAAAAAATTGTCAACACGCGCTAGGCCCAGAAGATAGTGCCACGTAGGCCGAAAAGAGGTAGAAAATTATTTATAAAATAAGTTTGGAGGGGTGGGGGTAATAGGACCTTAGTATAGTATAAGTGTCTAAAATTTCGGGAATACGTTGGGAGGGGGGGGGGTACTTATGCATTTTCCCCATTATATTATGAACAACAGTAGTAGTCGAAACATAAATAAATTTCATGTCTATTAAAAAGTAATAATTGACATGACTATTTTACTGTTCTATCCATATTAACTACGTAATGTTTAATATTAAATCTTGAAAAATGAGTAGGAGAATAAATAATTAATGCTAACGTTAGTAATGAAAAATAATAATTTTCTTTCCTTGATATATTACAAGTAGGTAATTACAAGTGACAAATAAAAATAAAAATCTATTTTTAAAATAATGAAAGTGTAAAAATGAATAAGGAGAGTATATCATAATTGAAATTGTTAGGCCATGTGCAGCACGGGCGTTCTTCATCTAGTTCAAATATAGTTTTGACCATACATTATCTCTTAATTTTCTTTGCTCTTTCATTTATTTGGCTATTCTTTTTTCAAAAGTTCCACATCATCAGACATCAATATCTAGCAGGTCCAATAAAAATATAACACCCTTCTCAACACGCTTAAGACAGATTGAAAAATGACAACATTTTCTCAAAGACAAAAACAAAACAACCCAAATTTGCAACAAAGACATAACAAATCATCGTAACGTCTAAGACTGAGAATTGTTGGATATGATCCACTACTGTAGAGATGAGAATTGAGAATCAGACATGTCTGTATCATACACTAAGAGTGGTCATAATCAATTTGTGATAACAAAACTATTTTGGCCACTTTGATTAAGTCCTTGCCTGAATTAGACCTCCAACACAAAACAATCCAAAATTTGACAAGAGAATGACAACATTTTTTTCTCCGATAGCAGCCAAATTAGCAAATTTGGAAAAAACGCGTTTCATGTTGGTCTTTAATTAGTATAAGTTACGTACAATATCAAATCCTATGAATCCGAAACAATAAAACTCAAAATATGATGATGGTTTCTAGCAAAACATTCTCTTCGCTTCAGTTTTTCACTCTTTTGTACCTCTTTACAGTTACTTTTGCTTCCACTGATGAAGCAACTGCCCTCTTGAAATGGAAAGCAACTTTCAAGAACCAGAATAATTCCTTATTTGCTTCATGGACGCCAAGTTTTAATGCATGCACGGACTGGTATGGAGTTATATGCTTTAATGGGAGGGTAAACACGTTGAATATTACAAATTCTAGTGTCATTGGTACACTCTATGCTTTTCCGTTTTCATCCCTCCCTTTTCTTGAAAATCTTGATCTTAGCAAGAACAATTTCTCTGGCACCATTCCACTTGAGATTGGTAATCTCACTAATCTCGTCTTTCTTAACTTGAACATCAATCAGTTTTCAGGAACAATCCCAGAACAAATCGGTTCACTAGCCAAGCTTCAGATCCTCCGTATATCTAAAAACCATTTAAATGGTTCTATTCCTGAAGAAATAGGTTACCTAAGGTCTCTTACTAAGCTGTCTTTGGGTAGGAACTTTCTTACTGGTTCCATTCCTGCTTCATCTGGGAATTTGAACAACTTGTCTTTTTTGCTTCTTCATAATAATCAGCTTTCTGGCTCTATTCCTGAAGAAATAGGTTACTTGAGTTCTCTTACTGAGCTAGAATTGAGTAGTAACTCGCTTAATGGCTCTATTCCTGCATCATTGGGGAATTTGAGCAACTTGTCTGTTTTGTATCTTTATGATAATCACTTTTCTGGCTCTATTCCTCTAGAGATAAGTTACCTAAGGTCTCTTACTGAGCTATCTTTGGCTATGAACTCTCTTAATGGCTCTATTCCTGCTTCATTGGGGAATTTGAGCAACTTGTCTGTTTTGTATCTTTATGATAATCACTTTTCTGGCTCTATTCCTCTAGAGATAGGTTACCTAAGGTCTCTTACTGACTTACAATTGAGTAATAACTCTCTTAATGGCTCTATTCCTGCTTCATTGGGGAATTTGAGCAACTTGTCTGTTTTGTATCTTTATGATAATCACTTTTCTGGCTCTATTCCTCTAGAGATAGGTTACCTAAGGTCTCTTACTGACCTAGAATTGAGTAATAACTCTCTTAATGGCTCTATTCCTGCTTCATTGGGGAAATTGAGCAACTTGTCTTTTTTGTATCTTTCTGCTAATCACTTTTCTGGCTCTATTCCTCTAGAGATAGGTTACCTAAGGTCTCTTACTGAGCTATCTTTGGGTATGAACTCTCTTAATGGCTCTATTCCTGCTTCATTGGGGAATTTGAGCAACTTGTCTGTTTTGTATCTTTCTGCTAATCACTTTTCTGGCTCTATTCCTCTAGAGATAGGTTACCTAAGGTCTCTTACTGAGCTATATTTGGCTATGAACTCTCTTAATGGCTCTATTCCTGCTTCATTGGGGAATTTGAGCAACTTGTCTGTTTTGTATCTTTCTGCTAATCACTTTTCTGGCTCTATTCCTCTAGAGATAGGTTACCTAAGGTCTCTTACTGAGCTATCTTTGGCTATGAACTCTCTTAATGGCTCTATTCCTGCTTCATTGGGGAATTTGAGCAACTTGTCTGTTTTGTATCTTTATGATAATCACTTTTCTGGCTCTATTCCTCTAGAGATAGGTTACCTAAGTTCTCTTACTTATCTATATTTGGGTAATAACTCTCTTAATGGATCTATTCCTGCTTCATTTGGCAATTTGAGAAATTTGGAATATATGTATCTCAATGATAACAATCTCATTGGGGAAATTCCTTCATTTGTGTGCAATTTGACATCACTGGAAGTGTTGTATATGTCGAGAAACAATTTGAAGGGAAAAGTTCCACAATGTTTGGGTAATATCAGCAGCCTCCAGGTTTTGATGATGTCACATAATAATCTCAGCGGAGAGATCCCTTCATCTATTTCCAATTTAACATCACTACAAATTCTAGATTTGGGCAGAAACAATCTGGAGGGAGCAATTCCACAATGTTTTGGCAATATTAGTAGCCTCCAGGCTTTTGATATGCAGAATAACAAACTTACAGGGACTCTTCCAACAAATTTTAGCATTGGAAGTTCACTTATAAGTCTCAACTTGCATGGCAATGAACTAGAGGGTGAAATCCCTCGATCTTTGGCCAATTGCAAAAAGCTGCAAGTTCTTGACCTAGGAGATAATCATCTCAATGACACATTCCCCATGTGGTTGGGAACTTTGCCAGAGCTGAGAGTTTTAAGATTGACATCGAATAAATTGCATGGACCCATAAGATCTTCAGGTGCTGAAATCATGTTTCCTGATCTTCGAATCATAGATCTCTCTAACAATGCCTTCTCGAAAGACTTACCAACGAGTCTGTTTCAACATTTGAAAGGCATGACGACTATTGATCAAACAATAAAGGTACCAAATTATAAAGGAGGTGGATTCTTCTACCAAGACTCGGTGGTTGTTGTAACAAAGGGATTGAAGCTTGAAGTTGTGAAAATTTTGCCTTTGTACACAGTTATTGATCTTTCAAACAATAAATTTGAAGGACGTATTCCTAGTGTTCTAGGAGATCTCATAGCTCTTCGGGTATTGAATATGTCTCATAATGGATTGAAAGGTCATATACCACTATCACTTGGAAATTTATCTGTAGTGGAATCCTTAGACCTTTCGTTTAACCAGCTTTCGGGAGAGATACCACAACAACTTGCTTCTCTTATGTCTCTTGAATTCTTAAATCTCTCCCACAATTATCTCCAAGGATGCATCCCTCAAGGACCCCAATTTCATACCTTTGAGAACAGTTCATTTGATGGTAATGATGGATTACGTGGATTCCCCGTTTCAAAAGGTTGTGGCAATGATCCTGTGTCAGAGACAAACTATACAGTGTCTGCGCTAGAAGATCAAGAAAGAAATTCTGAATTTTTCAATGATTTTTGGAAAGCAGCTCTGATGGGCTATGGCAGTGGACTATGCATTGGCTTATCCATAATATATTTCTTGATCTCAACTGGAAATCTAAGATTGCTTGCAAGAATCATTGAAGAACTGGAACACAAAATTATCATACGAAGGAGAAAGAAGCAGCGAGGTCAAGGGAATTACAGAGGAAGAAATAATCGCTTCTAGACAAGTTTGATTTGAGAACTTCAGGTATTCAAGCTAAGCTCTACACTAATCTTTTTTTAGTTTATTCTAACAACTAATATATTAGGTTTTATGCTTTTTGTTATCAACAAATACGTATTAACGCTTGATACGAATTGCAAGTAATCAGTTGGAAGCTGTGATAACAAAGGCTAAAAATTTATAGTTGTGTGACTCACTTTCTTATTTTTTCAGATTTTCAGGTGCCTGTTGGAGTAATGGATTTGGTTCTTCCTATGTTGCAGCTTATGATTGTTGGATTTGATTTTTAGTTTTATTAGCTTTTCTTAACCTGGGAAAATGTAATATTATGAATTTTGATGATATACAATAAATGTTGTGTGTATTGAATGATGTGTATGCATTTCTCGGATCAATAATACTCACCTCAAAGAATCTAAGAGAGCTGAATTAATGGAGGAAGATATTTAGCGTGTGATATAAGAAAGAGCACTAACAAAGAAGAATATGTAACAACCTTGGGCGTAACCTATGTTGCTCAGACTCTTCAAAAGTGCTAACGGGTGCGTGTCAGATTCTCCAAAAGTAGTGTATTTTTGGAGAATCCGAGACGGATGCGACATCAAAAGTGAAGAGCCCGTGCAACTAAGGGCGTAACTGGTTAACTCACACCCCAAAGCTAGTTATTATGGTGGGAGAGGCCAAGTTTTACTTTTTGTGATAAGGTTGTCGTAGAAACAGTTTCTTGCAGAGATGTAGAGTGAGGTTGCATACAAAATTGCAATACACCCTTGTGGTCCGGCCCTTCACTTAGCCTTTAATTATACAAACATAATGAAGGAGAGATTCAAGGACAGGAAGCACAAAATCAAGAAGACATAGCTGATGTGCCTCAACTACAACTACAAGTTCATATTTGTGTTAGCAGTAAATGTAATCAGGTTATCCATCAAATCAAGATGTTGCTCTCTGTTCAATTTCCTAAAGAACAATTCTTGCATCAATGGAAAGATTAATATCAAATGTCTAAGATGGAGCATGCCTAGTCCTGAAAATTATTGGATATGGTCCACTACTTTAGAGATAAGAATTGAAAACCAGACAAAAGTGGTCATGACCAATGTGTAATAACAGAACTATTTTGGTCACTGGTTAACTCACACCCCAAAGCTAGTTATTATGGTGGGAGAGGCCAAGTTTTATTTTTTTGTGATAAGGTTGTTGTGGAAACAGTGAGGTTGCATACAATACACCCTTGTGGTCCGGCCCTTCGCTCAGCCTTTTATTATACAAACAGGCTTACTCAAAGTAAACTGTTTTTGTCATTTGAATTCATCAATAATGCTCCTTGTTGTGCTCGTAGCACTTTGAAACTTTCCTTTGCCAATTGCAATAATGTTAGTTTGAAACATTTGTGTGTTCTATTACCATGACTATGGTGTTCTCATGTTACAACAGGTTACCAATATGACTCAATTACAAACAATTGTTACAACACGAAGCTTTGATGATGCAGCAGAAATGGTTATTGTGTCGAACTGCTGCTATGACTCAACATAAAGAAGGAGAGATTCAAGAATAGGAACCACAAAATCAAGAAGATATAGCTAATATGCCTCAACTACAAATTCATGTTTGTGTTAGCAGTAAATGTAATCAGGTTATCCATCAAACCAAGAACAATTCTTGCATCAGTGGGAAAATATTCCTTACCAGGTTGAGAGATTCATGGCTAAGATTAATATCAAATGTCTAAAATGGAGCATGCCTAGTCCTGAAAATTATTGGATATGGTCCACTACTTTAGAGATAACAATTGAAAACCAGACATGTCTGTATCATACATTAAAAGTGGTCATGATCAATGTGTCATAACAGAACTATTTTGGCCACTTTGACTAAGTCCTTCGCTGAATTAAATGTGTAACTCAAAACAAACTCAAAATTTGACTTGAGAATGACCACATTTTCTCTAATAGCAACCAAATTTGCAAATTTAAAGAAAACGCGTTTCCTATTCTTTTTGGGACCAGAGATATGTGTTTAATTACTATTTGCGAAAACAATCATATGAAGATTACTCCCTCTATCTCAATTTATAATGCATAGTCTGGATTTTCAAGAGCCAAATAGTTTAATTTTCACCAAAAAATCAGGGAAGTCTTTAGAAAATTTAAAATAAAATTAATATATTTTGAAACTACAAAAAAAGTACTATAAGTTACAATAATTTATCCGCAAACCATCTTCGGAGTGATCGCGTGTGAAGTGAAAGAATTGGAGTTTTTAATATCCAGAAACCATCTTCGGAGGTTGAAATATCTTAATCTATCTCTAATTAAAAAACTATTAATATCCAGTTTTCATCAAGGGTCATTACCTATTCCGACAAATTCCACAAGATACTTCATCATATCAAAATATAATCTCAGTGAAGAAATTCTTTTATTTGGAAAATCGATTTGAGAGTCACTGAAATTTAATTTTATCAAAATATTCGAGCATGAAAAATGTGAAACTCTTGGAGGTCTCATAAAAATAAAATACCCTTGGCAACACGACTTTATTTGGTAGATTGAAAAATCACCTAATTTTTACACATTTCATTGATAGATTGGCCACTTACCATAAAATTACACTCACTCCTCAAAACCATAAGTCTCAGTTGTTTGTGAATAATCTGTGTTTCAAATTGAGACAACAATAGTTCAAGTAGGGAAAATAAATAACTTATTATTCGAATGTAAAACTTGCAAAAAAGTGATATTCAAATTTAATTTGAATATATCATTTAAATTGATTGAATGACTTTATACGGAAAAATGACAATAATTGAGTGACTTTTCTATCACAAAACAAAGAACAGAAAAAACGACTTTTTGAATAATTGATGATAATATGAGAAGTCAATACTTGACACCTGCCATATAAATTCTCACTAGTCAAATTAAAGATAATGTAATCTAGAAATTTATTGGCTTAAGACGTAGAATTGTTGGATATAGTCCATTACTTTAAAGATGAAAATGAGAACCAAACATGTCTGTATTAATATGTAACAACAAAACTATTTTGGCCACTTTGACTAAGTCATTGGATGATGGAGAATTGTTGGCTTTTCATTTTTTAAAAGAGCTTGAAAATAATTCCACACCATCATTATCTAACGAAAATATAACTTGAATTGATTAAGTGACTTTATACGTGAAATGACAATAATTAAGTAATTTTTATGTAGCAAACCAAAGAAAAGTGACTTTCCGAATAGTTGAGTGATTATGTGAAAAATCAACGCTTGACATCTACTACATGAATTAGAGATAATGTAGCCTAGAGTTTTATTGATCTAAAACTGAAAATTATTGGATATAATCCACTACTTTAGAGATAAGAATTGAGAACCAGACGTGTTTGTATCATACATTAAAAGTGGTCATGACCGATGTCGAATAACAAAACTATTTTGGCTACTTTGACTAAGTCCTTGACTGAAACAACTCAAAATTTGACTTGAGAATGACTATAATTTCTCTGATAGCAACCAAATTTGCAAATTTGAAGGAAACGTGTTTCTCGTTGATCATCAATTTATTTTAATTTTCTTCTTTGGACTAGAGAAATGTATTTAATTATTCTTTGCGGAAACAATCTTAAGTAGCTTACTCCCTCTATGCATTGTTTGAATTTTCAAGAGCCATCTTTTAATTTTTATCGTAAATTCAAGCATGCAGTCTTTAAATTTTTAAAATAAAATTTATATATTTAAAAACTACATAAAAAATACTATAAGTCATAATAATTGATCCACAAACCATCTTCTAAGTGGTCGCGTTTAAAGTGAAGAATTAGAGTTTTTAATATTCAAAAACCATCCTCGGAGGTTGACATAGCTTAATCTATCTCTAATAAAACACTATTAAGAATTTCCTTTTATATATTTGTAAACTTGATTTGAGAGTCATTAAAATTTAATTTTATCAAAATATTCAAGCATCAGAAAGTTTAAACTTTTGGAGATATCATAAAGATAAAATACCCTTTGCAATATGACTTTATTAGGAAAATTGAAAAATCACCTAATTTTTGCACATTTCATTCAAATTGAGATGACGATAGTTCAAGTAGGGAAAATACATAACTTATTATTCGAATGTAAAACTCACAAAAAAAAAGTGATATTCACATATATTTTTGACCATTATCTCATAATTTTCTTTATTCATTTTTCAAAAGTTCCACATCATGAGACATCAACATCTAGCAGATCCCAACAAAATAAAACACCCTTCTCAACACGGCCATGACAGATTGAAAAATGACAACATTTTCTAAAAGACAAAAACAAACAACCCAAATTTGTAACAAAGACACTACGAATCATGGTAACGTCTACGACTGAGAATTGATGGATGTGATCCACTATTGTAGAGATGAGAATTGAGAACCAAACATGTCGGTATCATACATTAAAAGTGGTCATGACCGATGTCTGATAACAAAACTATTTTGGCCACGTTTGACTGAGTCCCTGACTGAAACAACTCAAAATTTGACTTGAGAATGACCACATTTTCTCTGATAGCTGCCAAATTTGCAAATTTGATAAAAACACGTTTCCTGTTGCTTTGCAATTTATTTTGTTTTTCTTCTTGGGACTAGAGAAATGTGTTTAATTATTCTTTGCAAAAACAATCTTACGAAGCATACACCCTCTAACTCAATTTATAATGTATAGTTTGAATTTTCAAGAGCCAAATCATTTAATTTTTATCATAAATTCAGGCATGAAGTCTTTAAATTGTTAAAATAAAATTTATATATTTAAAAACTACGTGAAAAGTACTATAAGTCATAATAATTAATCCGCAAACCATCTTCTAAGTGGTCGCGTTTAAAGGGAAGGAATTAGATTTTTTAATATTCAAAAACCATCCTCAAAGGTTGAGATATTTTAATCTATCTCTAATAAAACACTATTAATTTGCGATCCAATTTTCTTCAAGGGTCATTACCTATTCTAA